GTTCTGGCGTCACCGAATGTTCTCACCTCCTTCTCGCCTTCAGGTTTTCATCGTATTGCTCGTAAAAGTGTTACGAGTACTAGTGGCACTCTTTAAACAGCGACGTTCGTACGCTTTTTGCCGTATTGAAATTGCATCTACCCTGCACGTAGGCTGGAGAGCAAAAATAATACACATAAACAGTATAACAATCTGGGAGAGCTTGAGAATTGCAGTTAGTGGCGAGCTCCTAGCATACTATTATCGCTCCAATGAGATTACGATATTAGCCAATAAACATACCGAGGGACAAATCACGAAGCAATAAGCGTAATTCTAATAGGCCGCGTGCTGCGTTTCTTAACGTGTTATTTGCCAAAAACGTTTCTGTAATCAATGATAAACTGAAGCAGCCTGAAAGCATAACTATCGGTGGTTCCGTGTATCTCAGTAATGAATGCGTAGTCTAGATGAGGCAGAGCAGATGAATATTATCGACACTTTAGGTTAAATTTCTATTCAAATCTTACTCCAATTCTCATTTTCTTTATTTGTTCTTGAATATTACGTGTTGCTCGTGGCGTGCTTTTTTTATGGAAAGGTGTATGCGCAGCGGTTGAATCCTGTCCCTGGTATTACTTACAATAGAAATCCCCATAGTGTATGCTTAGTGTAGGCTTTTCCATCGCCGTATTTATTTCGTTTCAAATGGGCGCCTCTACCCCTTTGAAAGTTTAGGGCCTTTAAAATTTAAAGCAGAACCTTCGCAAATATGAATCGGCTTACACGTTTGAATGTGTATGTGAAATGATTCTGACATAAATCAAGTAAATCTCACGAGTCTTTTCTTTTCTCACTTTGCTTAAACGTTATTTGCTGTGTCCACGATAGTTAGATATCAAAGGTTCACCGAAGTAGCAATTTTACAGCGAAGCTGTAAAATTGCTACTTCAACGAGGCATATACAGCAAAGCTGTATATGCCTCGTTGGTCAAATTTCTTCGTGTCAATGTCCTCAAAAAAAAAAAAAAAACTTTTTGCGGTTAAAGCGAAAAGTGCATATCACACATACATCATACAGCACAGCATTTGTTTCAATAAAAAAGAAGCGCACAACAAGCTTCCGAACCTCGTAATTGGTGATGAGGCGCCCCTGATAACAATGCGAAGCACGTAGAGCTCACAGCATACGTTTAACGGTAAGATTACTGTTGCTCAAGATTCCGTGGCGACAGCAGCTTGCGACCCGGGGGGGGGGGGGGGACCTAATTGTCACTAGCTTTTCGTGTATAAAAAGTCTTGGTACAGTGCATTTACTTTTCTTTCGTCATCATACATTTGTTATAGTGTAGTGGGCAATCGTTGCAGATGATACCACAGCTTCGCTGGCCAACCACCTTCGCAGTGTGAATTGGAGCCCGACGTTTTTTGCTACTCGATAATCACCCAATCGTCAAACTTGCCGCAAGCTTCTTGGATGGATAACTGTGATTGTGTAGCCGCACGATGCTCTTTAGGATTCCGCCCAAACCGCTTAAAGTGCGCGATCGCATGGTGGCGCTGCGTTTGGGGACATTGCACTTCTCGGCCTGTAGGAAGAAATTGCTTTGATTTTACTCAGCTTGTCTTTATTCATATATTAACTGAAAAAATAGGAAATGAACATTGAATGTCGCTCCATCTGCGCGGGCAATGTCTTTACTCCATAAGGTAAATTTTGTCATTCACTCTGGGATATACCCTATAGGTGCAGACAATCAGCATGGCGCGAAACACCCACCAACATATTTGAAAGCATCAGATTAAACTATACTCTTGTCTCGATATTATGAACGCCACCGTTCCCCAGAAACACAAACGTTCATAATGTGGGTCATCAATAATAGCGAATCAAGGTCAAGATCACAAATAATAAAGCAAGAAATGTGGCAACGAAAACCACAGTTTTGGGGTCGTGATTCGTAGTTACAAGTTTGTCTCTATAATGACAAAACAAGGCAAAAAAAAAATAATCACGAATTTATTCAGTTCGTTCCCAAAGTGGGAACGCGCCAGAATTATTTGGTGAATGTCGGCCACCGAAAATTTTGTCTATATTGGGGAGGATGGGGGGGGGGGGGGGGGTGTTCATAATAACGGGGGTACCAGATCGAGACATTCCTCCATCGAAATAATAATGCAATAAAACTTTGCGATATTTACATAGTGCCACAGACTCTTGAAAGGCGGTTAATAAACAGCGTTATGCACTAAAACACCGCGACATCGGTGGGGGAAAATAATATTACTTCCGCGTACGCACCCCCCCCCCCCCACACACACACACACACATACACACGTATAAGCACACACTCTGCCCAGCCGCCCCCTACAAAAACTTCCCTCTTTGTTGTATACCTAGTAGTGTGAGTCATCTGCAATTTGCTAGTCCGTCCTCAGCAAAAACATTCAACTCAGTGTGAATCCACTGAAAACCTGCGTCGTCGGGACAAATGTGCTCAAAATCTAAACAGACGACCGCGTTTCAAAGCATCTGTAAATGCAAGCAGAGGTTATCACGAGGTTAATTTTGCGTCTAGACGCCGCGAGTTGATGTTTATCTACAAAGATTGAACGGAGAAGGAGAACAAACACAGTCGAGCGTGATCAAGGGGCTTTCGATGCTTGTCTAGTTGGACCAGAACGCATAGCTTGAGCAATCGACTTTGTGTTCAAATCACGTCATCGCGTTTGGTTAACTGCAGGGGATCGGCCTATTAGACTAGAATCTGACATGAGATCTAACGCTCAATCTCTGTGGTCTGCACTCGCTATGTATCTTGAAAGTATAGAGCGCGAGCGCGGGAGTGTGTTCTCGGTTTCTTGTATGTGCGTCTTCTCGGTAATGGGGCTCACCGAAAGGATTCCAGAAACCCATATACGCTTGGCGAACTCTGCCTTGGATCATTATTCATCTGGCGAGAACGTGAGATACCAAAGCTTAGCTGATGTCGTTCTTGCACTGCAAGATGCTTATTTCTTTCTGCTTGTATGAAATTGTCCTGTTAATAGAGAGGCGCTACAGCCGAACATGTTTTCGTATGGCCTACATATCACAGGCAATAAAGCAAAAACTCTGAGGTCTGGAAGGAACGAAAACATTTAGTATCTCGAAAGTATGCAGGAGAGCTGTTTAGGAAACATTGCAATCTAAAACCTAAGAGACGGAGAAAAAAATATCGTACAAGAGGGCACAATGTTTCACTCCGAGAGGAGAATTTCAAGGAGCGAAGGTTTACAGGCGAGCTGGCTTGGAAACGTCATATAGTAATCAGCTCACCTGCATAACTTCATTCCTTCAAATTCTCGCTCCGGATTGAGTTTTTTCTGATGTGTTGGCCGTTAATTCTTTCACGTTGTCTCAGGGTTTCGATTACGATGAATCCCTCGCCCTATTCAAAGTTTAACGTATAAAAATGTTCCGTGAATTGTGGCGGAACAACATGTGCGCGAAATATTGACCAGAAATCAATCACTCGGGCGCTGAGTTCTTCCTAGATCAAAATCTTGATGATGAGCCATTTGTTATCGAACAAATGTCCCGTTCATCGAATACGCAATAATTAACTCTTTTTGTTTACGCTCGGACAGGCACGACAATGACTACGATAGTTTTTACGAGTGTCAGATAATGTTAAGGAGCATTCCTATTTCATTAAATTTTCTTCTAGCTGCACTAAAAAAAGTAGCTATATTATTTTGATGTGTAGTATTAGAAATTTATGTTCTCTAGGCGTGAGCTAGGCACAATCTATATATTTTTTAAAAAAAATATTTTTTTATCAGCTCAGATTGTTTTTTATAAACATGTTAAAAAAAAAAAAATCTGAGTTGATAAAAAAAATATTTTTTTTTTATCAACTCAGATCAACTCTAGTCCGCTCCGGGCGCGGACTAGACTCAAGAAAATACCGTATTTTAAATACATGCGCTGCAAACAAGGGTATGCTCGTCTGGTTCAGTTTTTATTAGTTTAACCGAGATGCCTTTATCACCTCATCACTAAATAACTATCAAGACATGTTCAAGGAAAAGTTTGCGAACTTAAGAGGGTTAAGCGCAATTAAAATGACGAGATAGCACAGTCATTTTTTGTTCATGTGTGTGTTTGTGTGTGTGTGCGGGGGGGGATGTAGAAACAGCGCTGTTTGTCTTTCGTTATAACGGCGAACGATTGTGCGTTGATCAGACAATTATCTTTAGACAACAGTCCCATAGTCAAGCCGCGTCTTCCCGAAGGGTTACTGAATTTCTAATGGACGAAAGACCGGTACACACTGCTTGATGCGGAAGCTTTGTGTTTGTGTATGATGTTCTCCTTACTGCAGACACTATTTCCGTTGCTGCAAGACATAAACATTACGCAGAGCAATAGAGCGACGCGTGCCTAAGAAAAATACCAAACATCCAAGCGTGCGTCAAGAAACTGAAATCAAAGTTAAAGTGCTTGTGGGATTTTTTTTTTTTTTTCATTTTTTTTTTGCCATTATGTTAAAGAAAAAACAATATCGAGCAAAAGTACATAAAATGCTCTATGCGCTCAAATAAAACTTGCCTTGCAAACGTTCGTATTCAGACCCTGACAACGTTTTCAGACAAATATGTTTGTATCCTCACTTTCTCTACACTATTTCGAAACTTAGAACAAACACGGACTTTGATTATATGTATATTTGTTTATGTAAACTGCTGAATTTTGACGAGACACGTGAAAATTCAGCTGTCTACGTAAACAAGCGCGAACCAACTGACTCAACTGAAGACCGTACCGCTTTGATAAAAATAAGTGGATCAGTATATATGACGTGAAACGGAAATTAATAAAGAAGCAAGGCAACTGGCATTTCCTTATGTCCATACGTCGTTTCATAAGGAAGAGTACGCTATTAAATATTTGATTTTGTTTATTTATCTCTTTTAATAATGAAACTCACTTACCTTTTCAATGAAGCTGAGGTCCCGGTTCAGTCAAACACAACTCACAGAGTACTGGTACACTTTATTCTGCTTCTTGGTGTATGTGTCCCCATTAAACTTTCACAAAAAGTCCTACACAAAGAAGCGACTTTTCACATGAAAAAAATTTGTCATTCCCGTAAAACGTAGCCTCCGCGTTTTTGTTTCGGTGATAATATGCTATCGCTTTTTTGGAGAATACTGCCAATTGCAGCGACATTATTATATTACTGCTAAAGTGTTTATTCCGATTGTTTATAGTTAGACGCGAACCTCAAACACAAAGATCGCGGGCTTCGCTTTTCAATTAAACTGTCCCTCTGAGAGCCAGGGAAATGACTTTCCGTATAATAGCCCGTCCGCCACGTCACGAGGGGGGATTTATAAGGACAATTCGTCTTGCGTTGTCTTTGGCTTGTCAGGATGAGAAATGGCGACAGCGGAGCCGCACGAGATATACAGCTACCGATCATTACCAAAGGCCGTCCGGAGGTCGTACCGCATAGACGTGGTCGTAAAAAAAGCCGCGTTCCTCGCGCGTTGCTTCCGCGATCCGCCGGTGTCCGCCCCATCTGGGTACCAGCGCTCCCTAGCCTCTGAACAGAAATTCCCTGCCTCGGTACTTTCGTTCTCCGCCGCTCCCTACAACTCCTCCGTCTGGGGAACGCAGTGAGAAGTAAAACAGGCGCTAGCCAATGTGGCGAGCTCCTAGCTACTCCTCGATTCCCCGTCGATCGTCGCCGGCCGCTTGGAGGCGCTCGAGTTCCGCGGCTCTCACGTGAGGATTTGGGCCGCCTGCGAAGTCAGTCGGGTGCTGTCTAGTCCGCCGCGCGGAAGATGCCAGTCATGGTGCGACAGGAACTGAACGTCACCATTGCCCACGGCGAAGAAGGGACGCAGAGCGTGAACGGCGTCAGGAACGGCAACGTCGGAGGAGGTGTCAGGGCGACCGGTGGCACGACGACCGCCACCACGGGAAAGGCGCCGTCGGGCCGGACGCCAAACTGCGCCCGCTGTAAGAACCACAACAAGACAGTGCTCCTGCGGGGTCACAAGAGGTACTGCCCGTACGTAGAGTGCGTCTGCGACAAGTGCAAACTCATCGCAAGGCGCCAGGTGGTCATGGCCAAGCAGGTCGCGCTCCGGAGGGCTCAAGCACTCGATGAAGCCATGGGCAGGACTGTCATCGAAGAGATCGACCCCGAGGAACTCAAGCAGGCCGCGGAGAACGGCAGCATGCCACCCGGTAATTGACACAATCAGATTGTGGCGGGAGCGAGCAACGCCTACCGAGAGGCATTGCTGGCTGCCGGACACGTGCCGCCGTTGCTGACGGGAGTTCTGTATTGGCGTCCACTAATGGGACGGGAGAGGGGAAGGCCGAGGCCCATTAGTCAGACGCTGTTTCGCGAGGCCTGAACTTTGTTTCAATCTCGAAGCGGGTGTGCCCGATGCCCGTTTGCGTACTTCTCGCACACGTGCGTCGTATGGCGTTGGTAATTTTGTCTCGGTTAGCCTGTTGGCAACCTGCTAATGAACTTTGGTGTAAATGCAGAGGGTGCTAATGTGCTACCTTTAGAATTACCGCGTAGCCGAAAGCAAATTCGGTTTACCTCGTGGCAATCCGCTCATGGTATTGTATTAAATTTCTCCCGCATCGTTCGGCTTACTGTTTTACAATAGCCTCTATTCCCGCAAAACATGACTAGGTTTAATAACTATCACTCTGTGGTACTTCATCGATAATGTAAATTTCGTACAATGTTAGAAGGGCACCTTAATTTGATATCTATGTCGGCTGGATGCGCAGCATCAGTGACTAGGCACTAGACAGCTAATGGAATTGTTTTATGATATTTGTTTTCTAATTAGCGTTCTAACTGAAATTCGGGATGGTTAAAATAGATGCATAAATTGGAATAACAGTGAAGGCAAGGTTCCTAAGCAGATGGTTAAGTATATTTCATGTCTACAACAGTATGAACTTTATATGGTCAAAATTAGATTAACCTTTATTTCCAGTTCTACATTCCGATGTGTGGAGTAGGGATGTCACTTGCAGAAACCGAGTCATGTTGTCGTAGGAAACTCCTCTAACTTGACAGTGCCATGTGAAAATCTGCAGCCAGGCATATGCCTACAATCTCTAAACTGTGCTCAATCCCGAAACTAAGCTAGACGTTAGAAAAGTGCCAATTTACTGTAAAAAGACATGCCGCGCTGTAAAACTTACGCGGCCGTTCCTTGTCTCTTTCACTCTTCGCCATATGGAATTGGCCGCACTGGAAAGGAGGGAAAAATACAGAATACGTAGATCGGTATTTTACAACCATAGACACTTTTGAAGGGGGTAACAAAATACGCGAGTACAGTATATAGCGGTATCATCATAATTACAAACCTAAGTTTGAAGTGAACAATATACCTATTTCTGGTAATACGATGATATACGGGTTCTGGAAGGCCTCAACGCCGACACCGTTGTGTTTGTTCATAGCAGCACGTTACGGGGGGTCACTTGAATAAAATCGACGATTGTTTTAAGACCCAGTGAATACACGGTATCAACAAATTAATAATCGCTCAATGTGCAACGAGCGGGCATCATCCTGTTAAGGCTGAAGCTTGAGCTATAAGTACTGTAACATGCTTTTACTAAGCGATAAGTACAGTGCAGACAAGCAGTGGCGTATCAACTTGTGTTTAAGTGGGGGGCAAATCAGACCCCCCCCCCCCCCCCCCCCGGAGGACCGGGGGGCTGTGCCCTTGGTAACCCTTGGGCGCCGCCGGCCAGCGTTTGCTATGCGCAGTGAGGGGGGCAAACGCATGCTTTGCCCCCCCCCCCCCCCCTGCGAGAACTGGGGAGGGGGGGGGGGGGTGTACGCCCAAGCACACGAGAGATGACCACGAAAGGAAGAAGACACACAGCGCTGACATCACCCTATTGTATAGCCATAAATGTGTACTAAACAACCACACGGAGCCAGAAACGTTTCTAAAGCGAATCTGCAAACCGCGTTTTCAGATGCTCCGTAGCATATCGAGTTTAGTGATATTACATTTTTCATATCGGTTCATTATGATGACATTATCTCAGCTTATGAACACCTCAACTGGGGAATGGTATTTTAATATATTGTCGCTCGCTTATTAAGTAGCCGAGTTGGCAACGCGCTGTAGCTCGGGTTATTAAGTAGCCGAGTTGGCAACGCGCATGTAGCTCGGGTTTGATTCACGGCATATCACGTTCTTTTACCTTTTCTAGGCAAGTCCAAGATTCGAGAATAGTAGAGAGGCCGTCTAGCTTGTTCATGTTCAGAATGTATAGTCCGGGAAAGATCGTGGAAGAATATTTTAGGCTCCCAGGGAAGGCTCAAAAAAGCCGCGCCGTACCTATACGGAGTCAGTATCGCCCCAGCGCTGTTACTGTTACACCGCCATCGACACGTGCGACGCTCCCCTTCGTCTATCTTCTTTTGGGCACAAGTACACGCAATGAAACGTTTAGTTTCCTTCAGTCAAGTATAAACCTTATGTAACCGATTTGGCGAGCGACGAGACAAGCGACGGCGACAAGCTTCGCCGTCGCGCGGTCAGTCGCGCGACAAAGCAAACAGCATGAAAGCGACGGGAGCAAGCGACCAAGGCGATGGGCGACGTTTTCTAGAGATCCAGAAACCGAGGAACGCGACGAGCAATAGTGAGAAATCTCCGTCGCTCGTCTCGCCGCTCGCTAAATCGCTTATATGCTTTTCGGGCTTCATTCGTGGGCTCATCAATTGTCACTCGTGACAAAAAGTCAGACGTGAATTGGGAAACAGTCTTTAGTGGCGCTTTAAAGGCTACTCGTTATAGAAATCTTTGATACTTCACCGGCATAAACTAATGTGGACGTGGCTGGTTGAGCCATTACAAGTTCAGGAGTAGCATTGACGAGGTTTTCGTCAAAGCTACTCCTGATCCACCGGCCCTCAGGTGCGCCGCCGTAGCTCGTCACCCGCCTTCCCGGCAGTACTCGGCGGAACCTCGACGAGAGGCTCCTTCGCCACAGTAAGGCAAAGACGAGGGTCCCCACCAGTAACAACGTAGGCCTTGAAAGACAGACGTGTGGAGGGCTGCAGACCACTCGCTCTGCTGGCTCACAAACCTAAAGGACCTATCGAGACGCCTGGGGTGGTGGAGTTTACGACTTTGAGAATTCGACATAAATTGCGGCCAGACTTCTTTAAGTCTGGCCGCAGGCACAGTGGCGCCGATTGTCTTTCGAGGGCCCCCGTCGAGTTGGCGTCCAATCCCACTAATGACGACGACGATGACGATGTTTCTCTCGGCACAGTGAACGCCGAAAACACGACAGAATTTCAACGGTATACGATCCTGAGCCGCGCGCACTCATCGAGCACATGAAAGTTAGGCATACTACGGTGCCCCGATTCTTTTTGCGAGCTCTGCCGTCCTTCGTCGTTCGACGGGATGTACTTTACACGGAAAACTTCGGCGGCAATAACACGGCATAGCTTTGGTGGTCCCCAACGGTCTTCGAGAAGAGATCTTTCAAGTCTGTCAAGGTGACCCAACGGCAAGGCAACTGGCTACGCCTATAGACACTCGCCAGGATTCGCGAGTCACCTTTGGAAAACCGCTGGATAATCGTCACCACTGATTATGTAACCTTGTACGCCGAGACCAAGGCCCTTCCGTCGGGAACTGCGGTTGAAGTCACCAAGTTTTTCATTGAGTCTATCGTCCATACGTACGGCGCTCCCGAGGTGCTTATTACAGATCACGGGTCGTCGTTTTTAACGCAGCGGACGCCAGAAATTCTTCATCTTAGCCAGACCAGCCATCGTCACAGCACGGCGTTCCACCCGCATACCAACGGATCGACGGAGCGATTTAACGAGACAATCGCCGACATGATCTCCATGTACGTTGACGTAGAGCACAAGACGTGAGACGAGGTGTTGCCCTACGTCACGTTCGCCTACAACTTTACTGTTCAAAAACCTACTTGAGTGACACGTTCGCAGCTGATACATGGTCAGAAGGTAACGACCATGCTCGACGCAATGCTGCTCCACGAGCCGGCAGAGGATGGGAGGTGGTTGCTCAACGGGCCGAAGAAGTCCGCCAACTCGCCCGACTCCGCATTCAAGACCAGCAAAGTTTCGACGCTGGCCGCTAAAACCTACGTCGTCGTGACATTCACTTCCCGCCCGGTGGCCGGGTGTGGGTGTGGACACCCGTTCGTCGCCGCGGCCTCAGCGAGAAACTGTACTTGAAACGGTACTTCGGACCGTACAAGCTACTTCGTCGCCTCGGACAGCTCAGCTACGAAGTGGTGCTTGACTGAATGGAAGCATCATCACGATGCCGACCCCGACCATATGTTGTACATGTTGTTCGCCTTAAGCCATTCTACACTCGAAAGGACTGTGAACTTGTTTGCGTTTCAGATGCCTCTTCAGTTTATCATTCTTTTAATTTGCATTGTTTTCTTTCGTGTTGCATCAGGGCGATCTGCTTTTTAAAGGGGGGAGTAATGCTGCGAGCTATAGTAGCCGAGTCGGCAGCCCGCTGGGCTCACGCGCTGGTGGCTCGGGTTGGACTCCCGGCACTGCACGCACTCTTTCACCTCAGTCGAAATTTCGAGAAGTTTAGAGTTCAAAATGTTCAGAATGTATAGTTCCAGAAGGATCGAGGCAGAATATTCTAGGCTTCCAGGGAAGGCTAAGAAGAAGCCGCACCGCACCGTACGGAGTCAGCCTCGCCCCAGCGCTCGATCCTACTCTTACGCCGTCATTGACGCCTGCGACGCTAGCCTTCTCTTTTGTTCTGGGCACAAGTTCGCTCCATTGAACGTTTAGTTTCCTTCAGTAAAGCATAAACCGCATGTGGACGATTTCGCGAAGACGAGACAAGCGACGGCGACCCGCTTCGCTGTCGCTCGGTCAGTCTCGCGACGAGGCAAACCGCATGAAAGCGACGAGAGAAAACGACCAAGGCGATGAGCGACGTTTTCTAGAAATCCAGAAACCGAGCGACGCGACGGGCGACATTAAAAAATCTCCATCGCTCGTCTCGTCGCTCGCTAAATCGCTTACGTACGGTTTGGGCTTCACTCGTCGCCTCAACAATTGTCACTCGCGACAATATGTCGGACTTGAATTGCAGACACTTTTCAGCGGATCTTTTTGAGGCTACTCGTTACAAAAATCTCTGATACTTCACCGGCATAAACTAATTTTGATCATTTCCGCTAAGGTTTTTGAACTGAGCCTAGCTACGACAAACAGACTACCAATTAAAGTTATATCTACAATAGCCTGTACGAATTTCAGCTGGATAATACATGAAACTTTTAAGTCCTGAGGCGTAATATCCCCTTGAACGAAGCAATAATTGGGTATTCATGGCGTTTTCAAAACTCGTGCGCGATAATTCTTTGACGCTGTACGTGCAACTATCAGCCTCGACTGGTCGCAGCACGCGCACCAACAACTCGAGAGTTTCGTTCATTATTCGAGTAGATTTTTCAGCCGCCGAACTCCTGCCATTCTCTTTTAGCAAAAGGAAGTTGCCTTTTTGGGGGGCTGAATAAACGAATTTTGTCATTGGTCTAATGGCGTATAGCGCACTTCGCCCATTTCACAAAACGTCACGGTCACACACATTAGGTTGACTACTACCACGGGTGAAATTAATAAAGTTGCAGACAAAATACCATCTTGCAATGTTTCCTATAGACCGTGAGAGCTCAGAAACGCAGAGCGCGTCGAGTACCGAACGTATTATCGCTTCTGATCCAATAAGAGTGCGGCGTTAGTAATTAAGAATACCGACGAACCATAATACGCCTCGCCATATATTCCTTACGTGGTCCGTGACTACAGAAGGCGCATTGATTGTATTAGATTTAATGTGCTGTGCAATCGCGAGATACCTCATAGAATCTGATGTTGAAACGTTCGAAACATTAATCATGCTCTATACGAACATGCAGAAAGATGGCTGGGTAGAAATAAAAGCTGGTTCAATCGTGTTTTCAGTATGGTATTTTGTCCTACGAGTCGTATGTGCCTGCGCTGCGCCATGTTTTCGCAACCGTGCGTACGGAAGAAAGACATCCTTGGATGCACCTTTCCAACACAGCTCTGGGAAAGGATGATGAGAACAGCAAGGCATTAGTGAGACTAAAATTAAGATAGTAGACAAATGACAAATGTGTTGGCCAGCGTATATGTGTGCGATGTTTCATAAGTGTGTCACGGAACAGTGGGAATTTACGCGTTGAAGAGTTCTTGGATCTTAGGAGCCCTTAATCAAGGATTCCAGTTTCCTCACGAAGGATGTCACCGCATGTGATGTTTGCAACTCCCTTGACTGAGATACATCACATACCGTGACCTTTCGCCCTCTATGTAGTTTGGAGAACAGGGGAAAACATTCACTGAAACCTGTTATTAACTTGTGTTCGCGTCTAGATTATTGGACATCGTTCCTACCCCCGTGGGTAGGGTTTCGTGTAAATTGAGTGCTTTCTTCGCGCATACTATATTGGAGGTTACTACTGGATGCCCGCTAGCAGAATTATCTTTCGCTCCTTCTAGGTATCTTTAAAGACACATAAAGATTCAAAAAGCTTCTTCACCTTGCTTTAAAAAATATGTAACCTGAAATCTATTCTGCTTTCTTTCTTTTTTAGTTTTAATTACACCGTATATAATCTTTAGGTCGTATAAGCTAAGCTTGTATTTCAGGGAAGCTTGAATCACATTTCTCTCTGACATTCTGAGACATTGTTATTTCTACGATCATGTATGCCTCCCCGATTGGCTCTATTTTTTGAAACTCTATAAAAGTGGGTAATAATTAATAAATGCTGGAACTGAGTTTCCGAACGGCTGGAACTAAGTTTCTGAACGAACACCCCATCGTCACCTATGTTGTCAGCTGTCAATAACCATTACTGACAAATGAAGTTATAGTAGGGCCTACTGAAAAATACCTGCTTTAAAAAATGTCATCGCCATCGGCGTGCCGATGGCGATCACATGTTAATGGTAATATGTGATCGCCATCGGCACGCCCCGTATTATTTTATTCTCTATTGCACTCTAAAGAAGCCGGTGCGTCTACTTTCGCACACAACACTCGGTGAGCCAATCACCGCAACTTACTGAGGCTGCTCAGCGAATGACGATGCTGAAACATATGTGTGGACCAAAAAACGCAGTCTGAGTTGTGACATTCAGCAATGGAAGCGTGACGTTTTGCATTGCTTAATGACACAACTCAGACTGCGTTTTTTTTTTTTTTTTGTCTACACACATGTTTCGGCAGCGTCATTGCCTGAACTGCCTCCGTATGTAGCGGTGATTGGCTCTCTGAGTGTTGTGCGGGAAAGTAGACGCACGGGCTTTTTTATAGTGTGGGCTGATACTACGGTCACTCAGAGCTTAAGCAACGCAGGGCGTGGCTTCTTATGTTAATGCTTCGTGCTTCCCAATTCATTTTTTTTGTACTTTATGATATCGGCGATTGCCGCAATATGATTGGCGGCGGTGCAATAAGTGAGATGTCAGAGGCATCTTACTCATCGTTATGACATGTCGCTGACAGCTTTCTTAAGCTCTCAGCGACTATAATACTTTGTTTAGTATACAATTCGGAAACTAAAAGAATATATCATTTAAGTATACTTTGCGGAGCGTGTCATAAAAGTGGAAAATTAGCATATATGTTTAGAGCATTGTTCGTTTACCGTGGGACAGTGCACTCTACAAAACCGTCGTATACGGCGGGTGCTGCATGGCGTTCTACAACAATCGATTCCGATCGTCGCGAACAATCTCTTTTAACGTCCACTTACAACAGTATCGGCCATCGCGGCCCGATTGATGAATGAATTGATCTGACCGGCCCCTCCGTCAAAGCACCACTGATGACTGAGATTATCGGTACTCGTCATTTCGAGAACGTTGGGTCGACAAGGCACGCTGATACGTTGCGCTACGTGTAAGTTTACTGCTGGGTGAAAAACGTCAGTTTAAGCGGCGTATTCGACCGGTTTCGACATCTGTTTCCACGTTCCTGTGCTCGAAAAAATCTGCAGTGGCCACTCTAGCGCAGAACGTTTTCGACAGCCAATCGGTGCAATCTACCGGGGTAGCTCGGCAAATGACGAAACTAATAATGCGTTGAAACCTGAAAAAAAAAATTATTATGCACAGTTGCACCGAGCTGACGTTTCACGATACTTGGTGCCACAGCGCAAACGAGCTTTTGGGGACTAAAAAAGAAAACAGAAAAAAAACGTTTTATTAGCTTCGTCATAAGCGGAGTGTCCTCCGTAGATAGAAGCGATTGGTTCTTCCAGGTACGCTGCGCGAGAACAGAACCTCCAGATTTTGTAAACCTGCAGGGTATGCTGTAAGCACGTATATACCCCGCTGGTCCATAATTGTTATTGTTAAAATTTGGTTACAATCGGATTACAACCTGACCAAACACTGCGCTTCGGTGCGGATAAGATCGGGTAGCTCAAACCAAGTATCGGTCACAGTATCATGCTATCAGTCCTGCTAGCATGATACGAGAAAACCATTAAGTAGTTTTCTCTAGTTCCTCCGGGCGCACACTTTCCACGCCCTACCATAACCGCGGATGATCAGCGAAACCGCGCACCCCCACGCGTTCTTGGCGTGCGGTCTAACCGCTCATTCACACTGGAAGCGGATCCGCGTTCGCAAAGTGGTCGCGAACGCGGTTGTATAACGATCCAGCACAATTGCACGCGCACTCGATGTCATCGAGCGCGCGTGCAATTGCACTAGATCTTTATACAACCGCGTTCGCAACCGCTTTGCGAACGCGGATCCGCTTCCAGTGTGAATGAGCGGTTAAAGTCCACGCGGGCATACCGCACCATGAAACACCCGAATCGTAGGCCTTTCTTTAATATATTCAACCAATGAGAAGAGCCGCTCCGAGAGTCATGCCGTTTTAGTACTAACAGAAAGGATGGAGACCTTCTTGCCACTGCGACCGCATGAGCGTTGAAGCTCGACACCAGTCTACTCTCTAATTGGAGAAGCCGAATTAAACTAGGACCACTTATCGGTGGCCCGAGTGCGTTGTAGCACGCACCCAGGGACTACTGGGAGTATGCACGATTTTATTAATGTCAGCTGCGTTTTTTTGCTCCTACGAAACATTTTAATTGCTTTTATATTCCTGACCTGTCATGCCAGAAACAAAAAAAACAAGAAATGCAAATATATATAGGCGTGTGACGAAGAAGCTTGAAATTATCTGAAGGATACTCGGACCTACGATTGGAAGTCGAATTCAGCATTTCTCTCCGTAATACTAGGCGGCTATAGCTTTGACTTGTGTCTCCGCCCTTTGAACCGCCAAATTACATATTCGCGGTTATTTCGGTCCTGAAAACTGCTTCATATTCCTCTCCAATTTTCAGAGTGATGCATAGATCTAGCTATTCTGCCGTCTAACGTATCTGCATCAAACGCTGTTACCAATATATATTTTATTCTTATTTTAACTTTGATTCGTCGTGTTCCCAAGGCGCTCATATGTGTAAATTTCCTGTGCAAAATATTCAGAATTTCCTATTTTAGTAGTATCTTTTGTAAGGATACACATCACGCTATACCTTTAACGCGAATTCAGACTATAACCTCATTCTTGTTGTTGTTGTTTTTCGGTAAATAAATATCAAACCGTATAGGATATGCGCTCGCTAACATGGCGCGTACTCTAACGAATTGATGATAAAGCGGATGGCAATTAAGTTTCCTTGGAAACATTAAAACATTCTTCCATGATTATCTTTCTAAGACTATCAAAGGTGTCGCGTGACCTCAGCGGAATGTCATTTTACTGTCTGTTCAGCAGCATATGCACATTCATGAAATCATCATAATCTAAATCATAATGAAGCCCCTGGCTCTTTTTCTTTTCTCTCTTTCTTTCTGCAAAAATATCCGAATATGCTGGGGCGCTCATTGTGTGCAGTGTTTCGCTTCTCGCCGGAGCACAACCCACGTGACACTCAAAAAATTTCATTGGCGACATTGCAAACAAAATTTGCCTTTTGGAGGGCCAGCAGTGAAGTGAATCCGCGGACAGTTAAGCAAAGTACGTATAAATTTAGGCTCGGAGACAATAAAGAAAACAAACTTAAGAGAATAGGACGGGAGAACGTGGAGCATAAAAGTGAGACAGGACCGTAAATCTTCGTTAATTGCCCTGCTTTGCTACAGTGTACGCGACGAAAGATTTGCAGGATTAAATAATATATATATTCTCAACGTCAAACGCAGCCTTTACAAGAAGGGGCCGGTCTATGGAGTTATGTACCTAAATGTATTAGAAGTACAAAGCTACGTGGAAAAGGCGGTGTGCTTCAACGATGCACCACCGCAAGTTTAAGGAAGCTCCGAAATGAGCACCTGCGTGTCGGCAGAACAAACGCTCAACCTCCGGCCCATGGACATCTCGACTCGTTAACACATAGAGGCCGGTGCACACAATTGCGACGGCTCACTACAGTGTGCCTTAAAACCTCCTTAAAACCTCTAGCGGCGAGAGAAAGCACCGTCGCCATTTATCGTGTAGCCGTTAAACACTCAATATCCGTATATTTAATTCTTATATTTTTTGAAGGATCATTGTGATTTATTTTCTTTTTTTTTCGTCCCCCCCCCCCTCCCCCCCCAAACGAAAAAAAAAAGGGTGTTGAAAATCTTTTGACGACGTTTTAAACTACCATTTCTCATAGGCAAGCGCGCACATCTATCTGTGTCTCGCAAATGCCGCTAAACTTTCACTCAAGTGAATTGCAGTTCCATGGTCACCTCATAGATGGCGCCAGCGTGCCAGTGTGTTTTCTCGTCGTAAGGCATCACAAGAGCACGATCCTAAGAAGACGCAATTGTGTGAACAAGCCTCGCAGCTCCTCGCGGAACTAAGATTGACCTCGATTATTGCGACCGATTGCTTTCGTGCGTTCCTCGAATTTGTCGGAATGTCTCCGCGCGTTGTGAAGTCTCTAACTAGCCGTTTCCGCGCCGATGTTAATCTAGTGTACGAAGGAGACACCGTGCGATTTATGATATGTGCCAGTCTTAGGCGGGCAAATTCCATTCTACGAAATTTCAATCTACTTCCCAAAACGTCTAAGTATGTTGAAGTCCGTTGTTACTCAAATTGCACTCAGAGCTATCATCAGGAAACGTATTCGCATCGCGAGCTCGACGATGTCAAGATGTTTCAGCACTCTTCGGCAACTGACAGCCAGACTGAGCCAGTCACGACAGCGACGATATTTCGTGGACGCTTCTTGTTCATTTCGTAGAGGCGTGAGTAGGTAAGGCATGTGCTCCAGACGACTTTGAGTAATAAAACAATACGAAAGATAACCATGCACGACTTTGTAATCTACACGTCGTCAGTCAATATCTTTGAGGTTGTTCTAAAAATATTTTTGCTTCAGCCGATGCCGTCGCTGTCCACGCCGCTTGTTTCTCGACACGTGTAAGTCGTGATCGAGGTCCCACAGCTTCGGACATGTTTCGATATTTCATTTCCGGGAGCAGTAGCTCATGCTAGAATTCGAGTTTGTCGGGGTTCCTTTTATTTTGTTTCTAAGCCAAAACATCCGATATTGCGCTGCCTTCTCGTTCTCTTTCTATGGTTCCTATCTATTCTTCGCGGCAATCTTTTAGTTATCACCGACAAACTCGTAATAGTCATTTTAAATAAATCCTGACAGTTTGTTTTTCTTTTTATGGTGATGTAGGTTATTAAAGCAGAGTACCAACTCTTTTTTTGATACTTCCAAACGTTTAATTGCGTGAGCCTCAGCTTTACGCTGTAGTTTGACTCTCACCGCTCGCAACATACGCGTCTAACTTTGTAGCGAAGACTTTCGTTGGATTCAATTTTAGTGCATATTTGAGAGCATGAGTCAATGCACTCGGAAGGGCCGCATTTTCATGCGCATTATTACACTACTGTGTAATTCTATCAAATATGACATTCCATCTTTGAATTGACTGCCCTTCGAGAATACAGTGATTTACAAGTTCTATACGTTCCCAGTAGAGCGACGAATGGAAGCAACCGACAACGATGAGCTCCGAACACGTACCAGATGCAGTGGAAGGTATTTTTGACAGGCTTGCAATTAGTCGTGCTTATTTCACGAGCACCCAGGGACTACATGCCTTCCATAGGTATGCGATCGCGAACATGCTGCACGTGTTTGAGTCTTGTCCGTGTCAGTTGTTTGCTTGTCGTTCCCGTGGGACTCGGGCATAACAATTTCAATGGCTAATGTCTAACATCGGGGAATCACTACTTATCTGATATTTCTTGTTATTTAGGATAATATTTTTCATCACGGCCAAATATGTCGCAGTCGCCTTTAGTGATAAATTCTGCAAATATATATATATATATATATATATATATATATATATATATATATATATATATATATATATATATATATATATATATATTTAATTTAGTTTGTATTTGACCTTTTACTCTTAGCAAGTGCACGGGTCGAGAAGTATCCGATTTGAACGAGAATATTGCTGCTTCATTCAACACTAAACTACTCTAGCACTCTACAGCCGCAATACTGGCCAACAGGCTGAGTGACCTTATATACGAGGACCCTTTCCCCAGACGTGACGTAGATTTTGACATTAGGGGTAAGTAAGTGTTAAGAATTTGGGAACGTATTAGTGTTGCATATTTATTTAGAAGTTTGCCAGCCTCAATAGGCGTCTCGTGTGTCCTCTGTAGACGAAAAAAGTGGCTAGTGCAGCACAGCTGCGAGCCTTGTGTTTCTGACTTCCATCGCGCAGGAGTGATACACAACCGCACGCCGATACGATGATCATTCAGATTGCATCGGGGAAGAAACCATACCTTTTAGGATAATCAAGACCTGATAACATACTCCTCTTCTCCCACGGAACGTTATCTCCCTCTGATGGCGCCAACTCAGCCAATGGGCCCGAGCCCGATGCTGAATATCATTCGACGCGCTGATTGGACGCTAAGACCTGGCTAACGCTGACGCAGCACTGGCGCTTAATTTCTGTTTTAACTCGATCTCCCTGAAAGAACGTCAAAATTTGAATGCAAGGGCTTTGATTATTCTGTAGGGGTTGTTGGCGGGTATGAGCTATGTGAACCCTAGATACTTGGGTTCTGCCGTGCAAACTTCTGCTCCACGTGCTCCGAGCAGCGGTGCGTTATAATTACGGTTGAGCGTTTTCGGTTTTTATTTTTTCGAAATTTGGCGTAATTTTTGCGATGTTTATTATAAAATTCATTTTTCGTTCTTTTTTTTTTTCGGTGTATATTTATTCTCAAAAAAGTTCACCGTTTTTTTCGGTTAATATGAAAGAAACACCATCGGACACCGGATCAGATGATCCTTGTAGCTGTTATATTTGTGATCACTCAAAGAATAACGACACATATACATACGTGGTCTTCGCTACAACTTCCGTCAGAACACATTTCGGAATTGCGGAATTCGGGGGCATAATCTGCAGTGTGCTTCTTTTTCCTTCCCATTCTGACGACGTGACCGTCTGAGGTGATGACCGTACAAGAACCAGCGGAATGGCAAAAAGAAAAATCCATTGCATTTATGTTTTTAACCACAGAGAAGTTTGAGGGAGGGTGTTAAGAAAGCTATTGTTGGCTTTCTTCGATGTCCTCTGAAGTGCATGAAGCGAAAAACCTTATATTAGCCCACATCCGAACTTTTTTTTTGGGGGGACCGAGAACTTGACACACTCAACCCGATCAGAAAAAGGACACAGATGTCCTGCGAAGGTCAATCCAAGACCTCTTTTGTTGCATGTTGAACCTAGGAAAAGGGATATCACGAAGACGTCACACAATGTCGAACCTTGCAAAGCCCTCCCCCACCCACCTCGACGCGGCTCTAAAAAACAGTCCTTTTTCGGTTAAAACCGAATTTTAGAAAACGGATTAGACGTACTTTTATTGGTTTTTATCGGTTTAAACCGAAAACGACGAACCTACAAACTGACCTTTTTCGGTTAAAACCGAATTCCCGAAAATGCATTCTCGTGCTTTTATCGGTTTTTATCGGTTTAAACCGAAAACGACGAACCTACAAACTGACCTTTTTCGGTTAAAACCGAATTTCTGAAAATGCATTCGGCGTACTTATATCGGTTTTTATCGGTTTAAACCGAGAAGTCCGAACCCTAGTTATAATACTTGGCCACGGATTACCCTGCATTTTGGGACGCTACAACATTTGACCCGATGAAAATTGTGGAGGCTTCGCGAAGATAGCAGGAAAAAACAAACAACGCCCTTCTTGATTGCTTCGTAGGGAAGGTGACACCAAATGTCTTCTCAGGCGGAAGATGACATATTCGAGGCACCGTTGCAGGCAGGGACGCTTGTCACCTGCCAAGCAAAAACGTCCGAAGGCTTGCGTTTGAGGAGCGTTCCAAAAACACTAACGTATTAAACCCCGTCCGTCAAGCTGGCGTCATTCTCGAGAAGTTTATTCGAAGAAGCGTTGAGACTAGCAAACGAGCGCTCTTTTTACGACCAGCTAACTCAAGTTTAAGCTGTTCCCGGCGCAAAAAGTTTCTAAATCCTCATTAGCTCATTAGCCAGAACTTTAACAGCGCTAATGAGAAGTTAAATCATCGGATTCGGCCCGCGATATCCGTATCGATTGAAAAACATTATAAAGTGATGTTGCTTTGATTTAGAGTTGTTTGCTGTCTCATGTTATTAATAATTTAAGAAGAAATAGAAAGACGAGATATAAAATTAAAGCAAGGGCAGTGACGGAGGCCCCACAGAATTTCCTCAGACATTTTTCTTCTCTCTTTCCAGTTTGAGGCACTAGGACGAGCAGTGAGCATTTGTATTACAAGCGTCGCGTCTGTCACCAATATTCCTCCTAAAGCTCACACGCCGGATAAATAAATAGTTTGCACAAACGAGCGTGTACATTCGCTTGGCTGCGATTTGTCGAGGCACGGCTTGCCATTAGGCTTAAACAGCACACAAAGGGGAGTACGTCGTAGTCCTGAGTCTCAACGCGTCGGGTGCCTGTAATGGTTTTTGGCAAATGACCCGGGTGCTTTGAGAAAGCACCACATGACAAGACCACCTGGAAGAAGCGTCATTGTTACCCCACGCCTTCTTTTTCGTCGGCAAACCGGTCATTCGGAACATCAGGCTCCCCGCTGGCAGCCCGTTCCGGTTCACTTGGTTCGGTGAAGCGTTCTGGAAAAAAAAAGAGAGAAACGGGACTGTATCAGCAACGACACCGGCGAAGCGCCTGTGCTTAGCCGGTTTTGATCACTGTTGCCACGAGAAGAAATTGGTTGACTCGGTGTCATTCGATTGTTGGAATAAAAGACAATGGTACAAACAGCTCCAACCTCCTTGGACATCAACCCCTCGGCGCATGCACTAAAATTACAATTCCAAATTAACAAGAACAAGCATCCACAAAAATATGTTAGATGGCAGTCATAGAATATCAAATCAATAAGCAGTAATTAATCTTTTGGGGCGTGTATAGTTTTCATTCCACGGCTCTACAAATTATTTTGCGTTCCCATCTTCCACATTCACAAAATTTCAAATTTCTGCTTTTCTCGACAAAAGACGGTAATATTACCGAGGACTGTAACTGCCTGGGAATCATAAGACATATATAAATTATAAATTTGACATTTCTTCAAAACCCTTCTATTCCAAGGAATGTCTCCGAAAGTTGGCCATGCATAACGCTGGGACTTTAAAATTGAAATCCAGCATATTACTACACCTTTTTAGAAACTCAGGTGGTTTGCTTAGCCAATCGGAAACCTGTCCATTTTATACCGAGTTTAGAGCAGTAAATCAAATTCTTTAGAGATAATGGGCGTGTGTGTCGCTATAGCTCCGCATTTTGTTCGTTTTGAAGTTGGTGTTAACCTGGAGCTTTAGGCAATCGTACCTGGACAACAGAAAGAGCATGATCACACTACTGCCGCAATGTAGAAACGCCAAGATGTCTTTTAGACATTTATCCTACGTTGCGGCGGCATTTTTTCAATACAAATTGTACGCAAGTCTTAGGCAATTTTTAGACAATTTATTCCTAAGATTTCCCCTTCTAAAATGGTGTCCCATTGGCCTGGACAAGAAATTACGTAAAATATTTTTCTCTTATGAACAGGTTCTTGCAAGTACAAGCTGACGGGACATCGTTCCGGGATTATCTTTGCAAAGTCAACCGTGAAGCCGACATTACGCTCCGCAGCAGGAATGGGCAGTGCACGGAATACGAGATATTAATATATGTATGTAAAATACCTGGAATATTTAATAATTTGTATTCAATTTCATTGGAGGGAAAGGGTTTGATGATTGTAGTTTAACATCCAAAGATTGGTATTTAACATTCAAATCTAGTTAAATACAAACTTCCATCCTGTAAGCGATGCAACGGTCTAAGCACAAGGAACATAAAACGAAACGAAGGGAGAAATAGGAACCTTTTGTCTGGACAGACCTATTGGGTTTTTGTTTTGGGTTTCTTCAGTTTTTTCCTAACAACTGATTCGAGACTGTTGTTTATATGTCGGTAATGCGTCTGGTGCCGCATTAACGACATGCTCTTTGAAAAGAGAACATGTTTTCTCCCGAGTTCCATTAGATATAAAATTTGGATTGGGTTCGCTTGCTTATGTAACACAGATGTGAAGAAGTGAAACTGAAAACATGAACTAGGTATATACACAAATATCGCTCTATTTATCCTCCGAACCCCCCTCTTCGCAACTTATCGAGACACACAGCGCTTACAGGGCAATGTGTCCGTGACAAAACCCGAAACATCGACTTGACGGTTGTAGGAAGTCTCGAGGAGGCGTCATATCTTGTTGGGCTTTTTGTGTCAATGTACGTTTCAATACTAATCTTTTAGGAGGCGCGGTTAGGCCTTTACACTGGCTAGCGTGGTGGCGAATAGGCGGGTTGGTGACGTATCGTGCTTAATCGAAATTCTTATTAATTATCTTTTAATTGTACGCCCATCCATGCCTTTCTGTCTTTCCTTTGCTCATTCTTTTGCGCTGTTTAATACCTGTTTATCATGACCGAAGTTTCGTGAAACCTGTGTGTGGATGTTCTCACTGAACTTATACATTGAACGTCGAAGGTCGCCTTACTGTTGTTGTACAGCCTTAAAAAAAACGCTAACGCTAACGCTGTTTTTTTTTTTTTCTTTTTTCTTTCTTGCTCTTATTTTTTGTTATCGAAACTCTATTGCTGTATCGCTCAAATCTTGAGGTTAAAAAGTTATTGATGTCGAGAAATGAGAATCAAATTAGTATTTAAGAAACTTATTTCAAAATAATCAAATACCATTCGTGGTATTTGTATTTTGCGTTTAAATACTTCATAAAAAATTTACCCATACATCTAATTCTACACATTTTTGTTGGAGTACTTTGTATTCGTATTTCAATCATGTTTGTAAATATGTAGCCTATTTACAAAAATGTAAGGCATGTTTAACATGCTTAATATTTTAATATGAAACATGGTAAATCTGTTTATGAAATATATTAAGCATCTTTAACATACTTATTTCTAAACACGTTTATTTTTTCTCAAGCTGCAGAGCAGTTCGCGAAAAATAAACATGTTTAGTGGGGACGCCTGGGCAAAGCGTGAATTTCTCGAAAACCTATCGTACTATAAAGGATCGTTCTAAATGCCGCATAACGACATCGGTGCGACGAATTCTGCTCAGAAAACGTGTTTTTTTTTCTGTTTTTCTATTCTAATGTAAAGCATATAGCGCGGGTACTGCCGAAAATTGGGTATAACTACCCGCATGCTTGAGTACTGTTGGGCTTAACGTCGATTCGCATTTAAAGATATGAGTGAGCAATCATTCAATACAAACAAATTTGGCAGAGCGAAGTTGACTGAGGCCATGTGGATTTTCGTAAACGTCGGCGTGCTTTCTAAGTGGTGTAGCTCCGGCCATCTGTTCTCTTTATATATGCTGTTAGAGAAATTAAAGGGAGGTGTTTTTGAATCGTACGCCGAGCCTTCATTTCCAAACAACGTTAAAGATAACATCGACGTCGCCTTTTTCTTGAACGTGAATAGAGCAAAACGAACAATTACCTGCTTCGCTGGCGTTCATTGCTCGAGGTATGCGTCAACATATACACATGATCGAGTTTCACGAACGCGAGCATACGCGATTATAATTACTGGTTGCCCTTCTTAAAGGCCAGGTTTTGTTCGCCTTCTCCATCTGTTTAGTTTGAACGATGATAGTTGACAAGCCTTCCTAAATGAACCAAGTTTGACCGCGTTCGTGCTTACGCGTTTCATGCTCGCATCAATATACACGCGATGGAGGTACACATAAACTCCTACTTCTTCGTCTGCAGTACCTCCAGCTTCGTTCCCGGTTCTTCGTCCTCTACCGCTGTAGCTAGCACCCCCAACCCGATCGGTCATGCTGTCCGCTCTGCGTTTCTTTCTAACGGAAAGCTTTGGCGAGCAAGTTCCGCGACCGTTCATCAAGGATAGGAGAGCGTTCTCTGACCACGCTACGGTTGACCCTAGCCTCTCTTGATCGATGACCGTCTCTGAAACATCGGAAACGAACTGAAGTCACCGACAAGGTCGCCGTACGCAAGGATCCATCTCTGACTCCTTCGAATGCCAGCGACCAGCTTGTCACCCTCGGTGGCGGGCCACAAGGCTACATACACTCTGTTTTCTGTGGTTAAGTCCGCGATAGTGGAGGGAAAAGAACCGGTAGTGTTTGGGGGAGAATGTAAGATTGTTCGCGAGAGAATGTAAGATAGTCGAAGCCGTATCGTGTTCTGCTGCATCCGGCGTGCCCGAGTTTTCCTCTGGGGATCGGGAGCACTTGGCGGGGGCTTTTTTCCCCGACTGCGATGTCGTCCCGACACAAAGGCCTGCCTCGCAGGAAGTATACCATTCGGGAGCGGAGGGCTGGGGCAGTGTCGCTTCTGATCCTCCTTTCACGTGGCTTCTGAAAGGCGAAAATGGAGGAGCCTCCGCCTGTTGGTGTTTTTTTTTTTTCCTGTCCGGGTTCCCTGTTGGAGCGGAAGATAGGCCATTGGAACCTCTTGCACGGGTCGTGCAAAAAGGATTCCGACTACGTGGCCTAGTTGATAAGAACACAGAGAAGTCTGATGCTTCTATCGTGCCATGTTTTCCTTGTTACTTTGCCGTGAGAGCTCCTCCTTTTGTTTTCCTTTTTTCTTCTTCCTTTTTCCCTTGTTTCTGCGTTCTGACGGTCGACCAGTTTGATAAAGCACCCGTTGGGTTGTCTTTTAATCATATCACAATATAGAGAACATATTGATAGAACGAAGGAGCATTGTTCTTGCTTGCTTGTTAGTCTTGGATCTATTTTATAGCTTGCCTTCTTAGAATAAACAAATAGCACAGGGCTATTTTGGGGAACGGTCTTTTCGGCCTTTATATTTCTCCTTTATAATCAAACTTCACTCGTTGCAGCCAAGCTTCACTTCAAGAGGCAAGCCTGAGGCGGGTTAATTATCATTGAGATAATCAACATTAGCAGTTCGGAGTATGCTTTACTGCAATTTTACCCCTGTGAGATGCACTCTGGATGAAGTAATACTTCCGAAAGGTTATATCTGTTTTATACAACGCAGTGGCTTATTGGCTAATGAACTTTTAACCGATCGATTTCTTCTATTTGCGTGGTGTCATGTCTTCGCTGCCTATTTTAATCCTTGCTTGCGGTCGCAAGCAATTGCATCTATTTCGTACTGGTGTACTCGGCACTGGAGTACGACAGCACTGACGTACAAAAATACAAAACTGTAGATGCCGGTACATCTGTTTATTGTCGCTTAAAAAATTGGCAACCCCTGGCGACGAATTATCTAGCTGTGAATGCAGGTCGAAAAGGTTTCACTCGCGTCGCCGATAAACTTCTGTTTCCAAGATAATGCACGTGTCATTGGGAAAGTACCCCCGACATTCATAGTTTCGGCGTTTCGCACATTAAGAAAGGGTTGGCGCTGCTATCCAGTGTTTCAAAGCAGACATGTACAGGATAGTCCCCAAAAAGTGACTAAGTACCGTTACTGGCTACTCGCTGAAAAGAGAACTAATCATGTTACTCATGACCGATTCTCAAAAGGAACGCGTTACTTGACCTCGGATATAACGAGTTACTTTTCTCGTTACTTTGACGACTAAAA